TCCTAGTTTTGGCCTACGGTTATTTTACCCTTCCAAAAGGCAGTTTCCTTAAGGGTATCATAAATAGCACCAGAGGGAGAAGGCACAAGGTCCTCCCTTAGGCGGAGCCTCTTTACGGACTGAGACTTTCATCTCAAAGTCATGGAAGGTCTTGTCATGATATTTTGGTTAAGGTCGTTACAAAGACTCATGGGTGGCATTCCAAAGTCCTACTCGTCAAGAGGATATCTCTCGATAAGTATTTCTTTTGAGGAATTCCACCGGCTCTAGGTGAAGTCGTCACATAAACTCGCAGGGATGATATATCCCCTAAGGTAATAGATGAACCTTCTTGCTAAGGGTTATTAGAGAATATTTTTTGAAACGAAAGTCCCGCCATGTAGTAAATATATAATGATAGAAAAGATAGACAAGAAATAAATAAATGCAATAAATAAGTAAATGCAATAAATAAATAAATAAATAAAAACCCAAATAAAAACCTAAAACCTAGGGTTGAGGGTCCCCAGCAGAGTCGCCAGCTGTTGCGACTGGTTTTTAAACACAGAGTCGCCACGATTAGTTTTTATCCTAGGGAAGGGCATCTAATAAGAAACCCTGATTTGCAGACAGAGATTCTAGGTTTCGGACTTCATTAGACGAAAGGAAGGTGTTAGGCACCTTTCATCTACCTTGTTCATAAGGATACTAGGTTTTAGGTTTAGGTTTCGGGTTAAACAGGGTTTTAAATTTTAATTAGGAGAACTCGCCACGATTTTTGATTGTATGCCTATGTATCCTCTTATGAGGAATCAGAGTCCCAATTCGTAGTTCGTATGGGTTTGTGTTTTTTAGGGGTTGCAAATGTATATTGAATCACCTCGCATTTGACCAGGAGTAGTGATTGCGGAGATTTTGGCTAAATGCGCGATTAGTCAAAATCTATTTGAAACCCTTTTGCAAAAAACCGTTGTTTAAATTAGTTTGTTGCGAAAAATAAGTTTGATATTTGTTGAGTATTTTTTACAATGTTAATTGTGAAATATCTTAATTAATGCATGCTTCAAATACACTTTAATGCAAATAATATAAGAAAATATATGCATGAGTTTTGAATAAAAAATAATTTATTTATGCTTATATAATAATATTTATATATAATAAATAATAATAATATAAAAATTAATATTAATAATAATATGAATTATTATAAAAATTAATATTATCAATAATAATGATTATTAAACATAAATAAATATTATAAAAAGAAAATAGAAGAAAATATAAGAATTGTAAAAAAATATAGAAAAAATAAATTAATCAGAGGGGGTGCAATTTCTAGTGGCTAAGTAAAATAGGGGGCGTTAAAAACCCTGCAGGCCAGGCCCAACATGAATTCTGGAAGGGGGGGTATGTTGTTATTCTTGTTTCAGTAATTGGGCACAAGGGTGTGTGGAAATTAAATGGGCTTAGGCCCATTATGCAGTTGGAGGAGGCTTGGTGGATCGTGTAAGCGAGGGTACACGGTCTTACTATGGGACTTGGTCTTACGACCATCTAATGCGTATCTAATGGATAATAATGAGGAAACATGATTACTATTATGGGTGCACGGGTACATGATATCAACTAATTTATAATATGTTTTTAATATTTTCATTATTTACAAACCATTTTTGCCTTTCATCACAGTAATCTCCTCTCTCTTTCGTTTCTTTCCCTTTTCTCCTCACCAAACCCTAGTTCTCTCTCCTTAACCCTTCTTCTCCGCGGAGGCTCAACCAAACCCCTAACTCAAATCCCCAATCAACAATAAAAAAAAGAAAAACAAACTAAGTTACCCTCTGTAGCGATTCCGATTCTGCCTTGGATCCGGTACTAATCTCTTTTTCTTCTTTGATTTCGTAGGTCCTGTGAGCGATGGTTCTCAGTGAAGAGAGGTTGAAGATGATGGTGTACGGAGGAAGCGGCTAGCAACGGCGATTGTGGTTTCAGATGATGAAACCTCAATCGTCCTTCTCTTCTTCAACAACGACACTTGATTTCCCCCCTCTGTCTTCAAGCTTTCGCCTCTTTCTCAATTTTGTTCTAATCCGCGGTTCTGTTCTTCAAACTCTCCTCCTCTCCTTCATATTTTCAATTAGTATTTATAGGGTAGATTAGGGTTTGGGTGTTTTGTGAGCTTAGGTTAGGGAAATTAGAGGAATTAGAGATTCAAAATTTTTGTAATTGATTTATGTTTCATTTGATTCAGACAGGTTTGTATATTTAGATATTTGTTCTTATAAATTCTGGATTTGATTTGTAGTTGATTTGTGATTTCGGATTTGACCATGTAATAGAGATTTTAAATTGATTTGCTTGTAATATCTTTATGGGATTTGAACTAATGCTGCAAGATTTAATTTAGTTTTTGTGATATATTTGATTCATTATTAATTTCTACAATGTTTGTTTATGCCACAAAACGTGCGCTAATTTTTGTTTAATTTGCACAGTAGTCGTTCTTTAATTTTGGGCCAACATTAATTTAGTAATTGGGTTTTGTGTCGTTACTTATTTCTTTTGTCCAGCAGCATCATATCTGTTACAACAAAAAATATTTTTAACATCACTAGGCCCAAATGGCCTTAACCCCATATTACTTTAACCAAACTTTTGATAAATACAATTAACATAATGTTGTTTAATAATAAAAGTGAAATATTATAAATAAAAAACTAACAGTAATAACAACACTTTATATATTCTTTTTATTAAAATAAAAATAATATTTTTAATAATTTCTTAAAACAACAAAGCAGACAGTGGGCTGTCGCAGAAAACCGTTTAATGGGCCTGATAAGTTAATAACTATACCCCCTTTTGCTGTTTGCTATTTAAATGAAATGGGCTAATATGAATTTTAATATATTTGCAAATTGAATTCTCTCTTCCTAACAACAATACCTAAATGAGTTTAAATAAGAACTTAATTATTATTTTTGCAATGTTTTTCTATTTTCGAATCTCATGGGCCATGGCCAACATGCTTCGCGAATGGATTTACGGACACACGGGTCTTTCTGATTTAGAAAGTCCCACTCTCCTGAATTAATACACCCTCTGTTGTCTTGGATTTAAGAATGAGTCATCAGATATTGCTGAACCATTCCTAATTAAAATGTCTTCTATTTTTAATCTTGAAAATAAAGGTAGGGAAAATTTGGGGTACGATAGTTGCCCCATATTCAGTTATCTTCCAATCGAATATCGTGAGAATACACGAGTCTTGCGCAATTTGATTGGAAGTTTATTGAATACTTGGAATACCCAAAATTTGTCCGACCAATCATAAGGTTACGCTGATATAGCATACCCTCATGAGTCTTGAGAAAATAGGCGAAGCTGATGATATATCGCTTACTAGATGATGAAGCAAGTAGTCTTGAGCTTTAGAGAGTGGTCTTGTATGCCTTGGTTTGCTTTTGCTTATTCATCCATTTGGGGGGGGGGGGGGGGGGTGAATAAAATAACAATTGATGATGAATGACTGCTTGGAGACTGAGGTCATGGTTATGTTCGCGAATCGCTGCATGACGTCTTAGACGATAAGCTAGGTTTTGGTTTTCGAGCATCGTTGTATGTCGTCTTAGGTGATGGTCTGTGTTGCAGAATAAAGAAACACATTGCTGCATGACTTCTTAGGCAATGGTTTGTGTTGTGGAATAAGGAAACGCATTGTTGCATGAAGACTTAGGCAATGGGTTAGGTTCACAAATCGTTGCGTGAAGTCTTAGGGGATAGGCTAGATTTTGGTTTTCGAGCATCGCTGTATGAAGTCTTAGGCGATGGTCTGTGTTGCGGAATAAGGAAACACATTGTTGCACGACGTCTTAGGCAATAGTCTTTATTATGGAACAAGGAACTGCACTACTGCACGAGGTCTTAGGCAGTGGGTTAGGTTTGCGAATCGTTGCATGTCGTCTTAGGCGATAAGCTAAATTTAGTTTTCGAAGATCGCTGCATGTCGTCTTAGGAGATGGTCTGTGTTGCGGAATAAAGAAACTCATTGTTGCACGACGTGTTAGGCAATGGTCTTTATTATGGAACAAGGAACCGCACTGCTGCACGAGGTCTTAGGCAGTAAGTTAGGTTCGCGAATCGTTGCATGTCGTCTTAGGCGATAAGTTAAATTTGGTTTTCAAACATCGCTGCATGTCATCTTAGGCGATGGTAATGTTACGGATTAAAGAAACACATTGATGCACGACGTCTTAGACAATAATATTTATTACGGAATAAGAAACCACACTGCTGCACGATGTCTTAGAGGATATTTTAACAAAACCACTTGTAAATAAACCTTTCTTCAAGATTCGAAGTGAAATAAGCATATTAGATGAACATGATGAATGATGAGTATTCAAAGACCTATCTTCAATCATATTTTAAATATTATCACTCAATTTTATCATTTATGGTACATGCAAAAATACTTCATGTTTCACAAATTCATATGTGAATTCCTCCCTTATATTATATATTTTCATGGTACATATGTCCTCTATGTGGTAGATGTCTTTATTCAATGTTATTTTTGTCCATGTATGTTGTGTAAAGCTACTATTTTTTAAATATTTTTTTCAAAATTTCCTGTAACCAACAAACACAGTAGTTTAGAAGTGACAAAATCAAAGGTGTAACCGGTAATCAGAAAAAGTATAACCGGTTACATCTTCCTGACAACCGGTTACATAAGCTCGTTTTATGCTTTTTAATAAACAACTTTTATTGTTTTTAATTGTTTTTTAAGATATTGATCAAATCTTCTCCCACTCACTTTCCTTGTTAAAACACAATCTTAATTACCCACTCATCTCCTTCCAACTAGCACATAAACCCTTAATTATCCACTCACAAAAACCCACTATAAATTTTTTTCTCATCTCAAAAAAACCCACAACCTTCCAAACAAGATGTAATATGAAAACCTCTTCTCAAAATCCTAAGTTTCTACCTTCCTCTCAAAAGCTCCATCAATGGCTCTTCAAGGGAAAGATAAAGGCAAAGCAAATATTGGTGAAAGTTCTTCTAACCCAGCTCAAGATTCTAAAATTGAGATTGTGGAACCTAATTTAATGTCAAGGAGGTTTCTATTCAACATCAGAAATCGTCCATTGACACCCTCTAAGTATGATAATCCTGCCTCTTTTTCATATTCAAGCTTTGATTTTCCTGCTTTGTTCAATCCTGCCTTTTTTCCATCTTCAAGCTTTGGTTATATTTACCCGGATTTGGTTAAAGATTTTTTATGCAAATTTGTCAATTTAGGCTGGTTGTGTTGTGTCCACTGTTGTTAAAAAGAAAGAGGTTTTGTTGACATTGGAAGAGTTTGGCACTTTCTTGGGTGTTCCAACTGGCGACGCTCATATTCGTTAAGTTTTTGTTTGTGTTGAGCCAGAATTTAAGGATTACGAGAAGCTTCCCTATTATTTCAGCATCAGGCGCTTGACGGAGTCGGAGATTCTCAAGCATCTCGATCAAGGCACATCTTCTTCAAATGCGGCTCCGGTTCCGGAAGTCGTATACACAAATGAATTTATCTACCATAAGATGTGTTCACTTGAGAATCTTGTGACTACCTGTCTCTAGTACCTTCACATAGAGCTTCTCACCGAGATTAGAAAATCCAACCAAAACTTAGAGGAGTGTGAGGAGAAAATGGAAGAAGATGAAGACTAAATCCTTTTTGTGTTGCTTATGTTGTTTAATTGACTTTTCATATTATTATGCCATATTATCTTTCAATTTCCATATCATTTGAATTTTGTTTAAAACTAAGCTCTTTTCAATTATGTTGCTATGTAATGTTTAGAGAGTATTTTCAGCAATTTTGTTTTGTTTTTGTTATTCCTATATGGTTTTTAATGTTGAGATATGCCTCTCTCAACACTAATGCTTTTGTGTGTATAAATATTATCTTTCACTTTTTCCCCATCCTTTCCCCTAATGACAAAGGGGGAGAAGGTGCATCTGCTTTGTGTATGCTCTTTATCTAACTTTTGCAGAAAATAAAAGTGTCAAATATGTCCAAACTCTCTATGAATCATTGATAAATGGGGAGGTATCAAAGTTAAGGAGAGCATTCACATAAGGACATGTCAAGCTTTTCAATAAACACAAGTACTTCAATTTTTAATGGTTGTCATTGTCAAAAAAGGGGAGAATGTAAAGTCAAGCCTCTCCAACACGATGTTTTGATGAAGACAATTATCATGAGTATATGTAAAAAAATAGGATGAGCAAAATAACAATGTATGAAGAGATATGGATCAAGACTTAAGCAATTTCATGAAGATTAGGTTTGGATAAATGATCTTCAACTAATTGATACAAGTTGCAAATTTAAGCTTTGATATATATATATATATATATATATATATATATATATATATATATATATATATATATATATATATATATATATATATATATATATATATATATATATATATATATATATATATATTCTTGCAAAAAACACTAAACTAGGTAACTTTCTTGTAAGGACAAGGAGAGTCTCAATATATGATAATTTTAGGGGGATTCGAGTGGCACAAAGGTGTTCGTATGCACTCAAGAGTAGATGTCTTGCTTATTCCTCTGGCGGTAGCTCCTTTATATAGTCCTCTGGGTGTTCCATTAAGAGATTCGTTCAAGAGGAGACTCTTTGGCTTCTGACCTGTATAGTTGCAGTCGTCACCATGAATGAGAGCGTTTCAAGATGGCATAACGCTGATGTTAATGCGTCGACAACCGTTACAATTATTAATGGACCAGACTGCTAGCCGGCTATGAACGGAGGTGCTCCGGCTACGTACAATATTCGAGTTGATATCTCAAATGGGTTGATGCACGATCATATATCTGTCGGCCTTAACCATTAGTTTAGCTAGAACTCGGCGCTGGTACTCTTCGTCTCCATAGGATACATATACTTGTTTTGTTACTTTTCAGACGACTTTATGACCGGTAAGAACTAATATTTTTGGGATGTATATAGGCCCCCAAGCACTTATTTGTTACTAGAATGAAGTGTTCGATCAAGGAGAGCACGGGATGTATTAAAGTTTGAAATGGGTTATAACCCGACTTCACCTTTATTCATGTGTCACGAACTGAAAAGCCACACTCTTTGAATATATTTCTATCTCATCGCGCAATGATTATTTTTATTATGACTAACTTTTTTAGCGATGTTTCTTTTCAAAATGCACTGTTTATTGGCCCCTTATTTAAACTCTATTTTCTTCTTTCCTTTTTAATCTCAACATTAGTAACGTATCGCTCCAAAAAATCATGCATTTCATCGAGACGCTCATCACTTTCAGGTATCTCTTTCTCTCATTCTCTTTATTTTACTCTTTGTTTTTATTTTTCTAGAAAATGGTAACAATAAGAGAGTGTGACAATGAGGGAAATGTCGTAAAATCCACCAACGCTAAAAGGAGAAAAGTGTTGTGGAACTGATGCATGAATAAGGTTAAGGGTGCCTTAGGTCGTGAGGAGTTTGATCAAATAACGAGAGAAGCTTATGGTTACATCTTCGCCTCTTTAAGTGATTGTGACTCTGATTCTTCCTCCTTAGGTTCCGTAGAAATCTTGATGGAGACGGCTTCCCCTTTTGACCTTGAAGTTATGGGCTACAAAAATAGCTCACTCGATAATAAAGAGATTGCCAAACTCCGGTCATGTTTCTTCGATCGGGGATGAAGATGACGTCATCTTGGAATCTTGTGCTCCCGGAGAACGAGTATGCATACTAAGCCTGAAGGGTTCTGATGAAGAATTCTTTTATTTCTATATGGGGGCACTATAGTATTTCAAGATTCGCTTTCCCTTTTATGATTTTGAGGCAAACATATTGAATATTTGCTTTCCCTTTTATGATTTTGAGGCAGACATACTCAAGACCATAAACTTCACCCCAACAACTGGGGTTTTATTAAAGCTTTTGAGATAGTTTGTGAGGAAACGGATATTTTCCCTACCATAGGCTTGTTCTTTTCTTTCTTTGAGGTGAAAGGGGTTGAGAAGTGTTCCTGAACTCAAATTAGTGGCCTTCCCCACAAAAGCTTCCTCCAAGTATATACTACGAATTATAAGGGTTTTAAAGACCAGTTTCTGCGGGCCGAGGTGCCCCTAGGTACTATATGCCTTAGATGAGCATCATCATTTTCTCTATTACTAATCTAGTGACCCTCTGTCGATTTGTGGTTTTAATTATAACAAGTTGGGTGATTTGGAGATCCAAGCTCTGAATGTGCTTGACTTTTTCCGAATTAAGGGTCAGATTTATTGCCCTTAACTATCAAATAAATCCCAGATTTCCTTGCTAATAGTTTTTTTTTTATTTAAGAGTCGTGTTTAATTCTAGAAGGTACTTATATTTTCATTTTTTGGTGTCTCTGTTTTGCAGACAAAATGACGAATATATCTATTGTCGAGTAAGAGAAGCTGTTGTTGGAGGCTAGAGTTGCTCGGAAGGGAACTGGTGGACCTTCCACGACTAAACTGACCTTGTCGGGCTAGACACTTGTTCACTGAAGAGGTGAAAGGTGGCGGGTTCTAAGGCCACGTTGAGTATAGATGAGCCTCATGTAAGAACGAAGTGTTTCCTACATCTGAACTTGAGATTTTAATGATAACGTCACATGTTATCTTAGAGAACAATTGTATACACTAATGATTTCGTCTAATGTGTAGTTGCTGCTATAATATTCTGAATCTGGTAGAAGGCATGTGACGTCATCAGGTTCTGAACATACACTCTAGAAGAAAACATGTGATTACATGTTTTGATAAAGTCAAGGTTCTGAACTTATCTTATACAACGTGTCTTAGGAACGTTAGTACAAGAAGTTCTGATTATGGCTTTGTGGTTTAGCTTTGGAGGCCTTCTATAGCTTTACTTTTGTGTTACAGGTTCTGAAGATTATGAAGAACAAGTTCTGCTGAACAATTTCTAATGATCTGAAGAAAAGGAATTTCTTACAACCAAGTGCTGAAGACTTTGAAGACAAGGTTCTATGTGACAAGTTCTAAAGACTCCAAGACTAAGGTTCTAAGGCTCAAGAAATATTCTTCTACAACAAGCTTCAACGTTCAACATTCAAATATCTGAAGACTCTGTAGACCAAGAAGGAAAGCTCAAAATGGTTAATTTTTCATAGTGTATAAAAGGTACTTAAAGTGATGTTTACCTCTACTCTTCTAGAGTGGCGCAAGGACAGTTCTTTTGTACTTGACAGTGACTACTCTAATTATAACCATTAAGAACAAACAACTAGATTTCCAATTTACCTTTCTACCCTTTCAATGGATCTCTTTTACAAGCTATAAAAGGAAGACTTGGAAGCTAAAGAAAAGTAACAAATTACATTACAACGATAAATCTATCGGTTCAAATCAAGCTCAACAAAACTACACCAAAGCGATGTGAAAACTCTATAGAGAAATCATCTGTGTATATTTTTGTAAATAAGCAAGGAGTTGTTGTTCGTATCTTGCAGTAGAACACTTAGGTATTCTTCATTGTACTGGAAAGTCTGTATAATCTACCTACAAGAAGCAAATTTGTAATACACTGAAAGTACTCAACTGTTGTTGAATGTTACCTTGAGAGCTGAGTGAAGGTATTAGCTCAAGAAGACTCATGCTGCGGCTTGAGTGGATTTACAGTAAGGATCGACGAACTTATTAAGGGTGCCAATAAGGTTGATCAGACTTGCTGTGGGTTATTCTGTAATCAGTTTGGTTATAGTGGATTAAGTCCTTGTTGAAGGCGAAATCATCCTTGCGAGGGTGGACTGTGTGAGGGCAAGATTCATGTTTTCATGATGTCAAAACCTCTCCTATCCTTAATGACATGCGTGCTACATAAAATATACTTGGTACAAAGTATGGGATGCTGAAGATATGGATGAGGATACTCATGTTGCTTAAAGCGACAACTCTAGTGTGTTAGCTCAATTGGAAAGGATGCAGATCCAATAACATGAAAATACTTCTCTCCAAAATGAACGAATATCTAACTTCTACAATATTATCAAGGTCCAAAGTGAAACCTTTGCTTCTTACTCGGCTGTCCAAGCTCAAAGGTATTCAACCTTGTAGGGCATGATTCAAACACAAGCTGCCAACTTAGCCTCATTCCAATCCACCTTGATGCAACACTTTCAGCATCCTCCTCAACAAAGCCCTTCAATCCAAGACCAAGACCAAGACAATGAAAATTGAACATGCTTTGTGTCTTGTTTTTAGCTTAAATTTTATCTTGCTAAAATTTTGTCATGTTTTGCCTAACTTTATTTGCTTTCCTTAAACCTACTTTGTGTTTGTTTAAGTTTATTTGTCATTTAGTATATATAGTACTTTGTGATGTTTGTTTAATTATCTCATTTGCACTATTTTTCATTTTATGTGAATGGTCTTTAGTGCGTTAAGGTGCAAATTTATGATCTCTACTCTACTTTTAAATGCTACTATTAATCAAATGCTTTTCTCTTTTTGATGTTGTCAAAAGGAGAGAAGTGCTATGAGAGTGAGATAGACTTACAATTTCTGAGTTCTGAAGATGTGCGCAAACTCAA